TAAGTTTACAACGCAATATCTAGATTTGCAAAGGCAATTGGTGGACACAAAGTGAACTTTTACCTTTCTTGGCTACTGAGGAAAACATTTAAATGAAACTTTATTTGCTTGGAGTTGAGATTTAAAAGGAAAGTATAGAATATTTCCAGTGAGAATGTATTTTGAGTTATTGTGGTGTTTATATTAAAGTCCAACTCCAGCCAATTCAGGAAAGGCAGTGGTGGAAACCATTTCATCAGGGACACAAACAAAAAAAATGTTTTAGAAGAGTACAGAAGGGTTAGCATATCTTGTTTTTCATTTGATCCATCCTGATAATGACATTTCCCTCTATTTTTATACAGCTGTCATGGGGATAAAGAGATCTCCTCAGTGGGGGTCATAAATCAAATAAAAAATTGACAAAAATGTTAGCTCTTTAGCTTTAAAAAATGAAATGGCTGTGATTAAGCTTTATGTGACATATTTTTGTTGTTGTTTTAAATAAAGAGATTTGTAGATTAGCCACTAGAGGCAGCAAATGCTAAAAGGTGCAGTCATTGTGCTTCCCTTCTTAAAACCCAATTCCATCTTTGTAAATGCCCTTCTATCTTTGCAGCATTCTCCTTTGAGCCATGGGTAGCTTGATAATCCAATCCTGGGGGTTTGTCTTTGATGACCTGAACTCATAGGAATTATGTTCAGTGATATTGCTTGCCATTCAACGTGGAGGAGCATTGGTACTGGACTAGAGATCTGGACTCAAAGGGCATATGCAGAGGGTGGTATTGCTTGGCAAACTCATTTTTGCAACACAGGAGAGGGAAATAAAAAACAAAAAAAATAAATAGAACTGGCATTTAACAGAGATGTATGACCAAAGCTTTTTTGACCATACTTCTCTTGTGAGTGACAGCAGTGCACTTACTTGAGTTCTTGTGTAACCCAGAGTCAGCTGATAGTGGGCTATGATTGATAGATGACTTCGCCTTCCAATGCACTGCTGAGAGCTGGAGCAAGTTGAGCCTGTCCCCTCTCCCCTATCCTGCCTGGCGCTTCAGTGAGCACTGGATATGCAGAATGAAGAGCAATGATTGGCAGTCACTGCTCTCCACTCTGATCAGACTGAGAACTGAGTGACAGCGGTCACATGATCACTCTGTTCTTGCTCTTAGAGCTGGGGTGGGAAAGCTGCAGCATGGAGGTATGGATTTTTTTCTAAAACCCAACTCAGCCAAACTCAGACAAGTCCATCGGATTGCCAGACAGAGTGTCATTTGTTATTCCAGAGAACACGTCTCCACTGCCCTAGAGTCCGCGGTGTGATTTACACCTGCATCTGACGCTTTGCATTGCACTTGGCGATGTAAGGCTTGGATGCAGCTGTTCGGCCATGGAAACCCATTCCATGAAACTCTCTACACACTGTTGTTGTGCTAATCTGAAGGCCAGACAAAGTTTGGAGGTCTTTAGCTATTGACACTGCAGACAGTTGGCGACTTCTGCGCACTGTGCGCTTCAGCATGTGCTGATCCCACGCTGTCATTTAAAGTGGCCTACCACTTGGTGGCTGAGTTGCTTTGTTCCCAGTTGCTTCCATTTTGCTATAATACCACTAACAGTTGACCGTGGAATATTTAGTAGTAGCAAGGAAATGTCACAGTTGGACTTATTGCACAGGTGGCAACCTATCACGGTACCACGCTTGAATTCACTGAGCTCCTGAGAGCGACCCATTCTTTCACAAATGTTTGTAGAAGCAGTCTGCATGCCTAGGGGCTTGATTTTATACACCTGTGGCCAAGGAGGTGATTGGAACACCTGAATCCAATGATTTGAAGGGCTGGCCCAAAACTTTTGGCAATATAATGTATATACAGTTGCAAGAAAAAGTATGTGAACCCCTTGGGATTACGTGGAGTTTTGCATGAATTGGGTATAAAATGTGCTCTGAACGTCATCTAAGTCACAACAATAGAAGAACACAGTCTGCTGAACATAATACTACACAAACATTAGATGTTGCCATGGTTTAATTGCACATAACATGTAAACATTCACAGTGCAGGGAGGAAAAAGTATGTGAACCTTTTTGACCCTCCTTTGGCAGCAATAACCTCAACCAAACATTTCCTGTAGTTGAAGATCAGACCCGCACAACGATCTGGAGTAATTTTGGACCACTCCTCTTCACAAAACTGTTTCAGTGTAGCAATATTCTTGGGATGTCTGGTGTGAATCGCTCTCTTAAGGTCATGCCACAGCATTTCAATCGGGTTGAGGTCAGGACTCTGACTGGGCCACTCCAGAAGGTGTATTCTGTGCTGTTGCAGCCATTGTTTTGTTGAAATACTTGTATGCTTTGGGTCATTGTCCTGTTGCATCACCCATCCTCTGCGGAGCTTCAGTTGGCGGACAGATGGTCGTACGTTTTCCTGCAAAATGTCTTGATAAACTCTGGAATATTCATTTTTCCATCAATGACAACAATCTGTCCAGGCCCTGAGGCAGCAAAGCAGCCCCAAACCATGATGCTCCCTCCGCAGAAAACGTTCAGAGCACATTTTATGCCCAATTCATGCAAAACTCCACGTAATCCCAAGGGGTTCACATACTTTTTCTTGCAACTGTATACCAGGGGTGGACTAACCATTTGGAAACTCGGGCACTGCCCGAGGGCCCAGGGTCAGTAGGGGCCCCATGAGATGCTCCTGGTACCTTTTTCATAGGCTTTTTTGAGTTTGGGCAAGGACACAGGGGCCCCATGATCCCCTAGTACCCGGGGCCCCATGAGTTGTCAGTCCGCCCCTGATATATACATAAATATAATCACAGACTATGTATTTTTTTAAATGATGAAAACACGTAGTATTATTTACATCAAATTTAACTTTTTTTTTTACCTACAGTATATTATATATCTAAAATAAATTAAAAGGAACTATATTTTACCTTTAAGTGCTCCTTTTTATACACTCCAAAGCACGCAGTTACATATTTATTCCATTGAGAGAGAGTGAGCAAACTCTGTATTTACACTGAGTCTGGAATTAATGCACCGGCAGCTTTTAAATGGTAATATGAATGAGAAGACGCGGCGTGTGGTGGAAGGAAGGACTCTCGTGCTTGTTTTGTTTGGGAGAAACTTATATTGGCATACTGTGTTGTTAACATGCTTGGCGGGCCAAAGAGGCTGACAGTACTGAGAATTAGTGGCCCCTCAGTGAAAGGATGGTGTGAAATTCTACAAGAGCCTCCTAGTCTGGAAAATATTAATCATTTACAAATTCTCTAACCAGCTACTCATTGAAAACCAATGACTATATATCACTGGCCGTGAATACTGTATATTTTGTAATGGCTTGCATAATGTATGGTGCTTGTATGAATGTTTATGCTATATCAGTTTAAGAATCTTATTTAAAGATTTACACCAGAATAGCTAAATATAGAGCTGGAGTTGGTTTACCTAGCTAAGGATTTGTATTTCTGTCTATCCATTCTGAGATTTACACAGCCCTGCCAGTACAGTTAGTTGCTGACCTTCCTTTTCTTTGCTGCAGTTAAGCAATACAGCCTGGTTACCCTCCTGACTCAAGCTTTTAATTGGACAATAAAGAAGCAGCAGCAGACTGATGAGGTTATCCTCTACTCCCTGCTCTCTGCTCATGGCAGCTTGTTCCTTGTCAGGCAGCACGCCTGGCTTCTAACACTGCTTGTCTTTCTTCAAGTATGCATCATATAGGTCATGTTTATACATCATATAGGTCCAGGGGCGGACTGACAACTCATGGGGCCCCTGGGCAATAGGGGATCATGGGGCCCCTGTGTCCTTGCCCAATCTCAAAAAAGCCTATGAAAAAGGTACCAGGGGCATTTCATGGGGCCCCCTACTGACCCGGGCCCCCGAGCAGTGCCCAAGTTTCCAAATTGTCAGTCTGCCCCTGTATAGGTCATGTTTATACATTATATAGGTCATTTTTGCCCATTGGTCCACCTTAAGGCTCGATTCACAATACTGCGACCTGAAAGTCGCACGACAGAAATCGACAGAAAGTCAGGCGATTTCCTGCAACTTGATACACGACTTTGCCATGTGACGTTGCTATTTGTTTACCTGTTTCTTGGTTAAATTTCATTACATTTATTGAATTTCTAACAAAATCCTAATTTTCAGAATGAATGGAATTTAAATCGGTCGAAAATTGATCAACTGATCCGAATTCTGTGCAAAAATAGCTGGTTGCTAAGAAGAGAGCCAGGAAGCTGGCCGCCACGTCCTTGTTCTCATCCACCCATGGCCAAGGTGACAGTGTCTCCTTAATGTTGTGACGCGAATTACACCTTTTTTGTACCAAACAGAAGTTAAAGTGTTACTAATCCCACACCAGTAAAATCAGTCTGTATATGCAGTAAAGCATGCTTGATATACTCATTGTGGAACCTAAGGGTTTAATCCTCTGCATTGTGTAAAAAGGCTGTTTGATCCTGTCTTCTGTGATCCTCCCCTTCTTCCAGTGTTCCCCTCTTACCTCCCGATAAGACATATAATGGGAGACACTCTGCACATGCTCAGTTTGTTGTGTAGTGCTAGAGAGGTTTTTTTTCTTGGGAGAGTTCATGTGATCAGCGCAGGGCCATCAGCACTGTCCAGACAGAGGTCAGGGGTTCTGCATCCTCAGAGCAGAAAGAAAACTCCTCCTACAAGTTTTAACCAGTGCTCTGCTGGACACTGATAGAAGTCACAAGACTGCTATATACTGCTGATGGGATCAGTTTATATTTACTAAAATAATTGCATTTCCATGTTCTGTGTACTGTGGGAGAGCGGATATAGGGAATGCAGGGTCCGGGGAGAGCGGATATAGTGAATGCAGGGTCCTAGGAGACCAGATATAGTGAATACAGGGTCCGGGGAGAGCGGATATAGTGAATGCAGGGTCCAGGGAGACCAGATATAGTGAATGTAGGGTCTGGGGAGACCAGATATAGTGAATGCAGGGTCCTGGTAGACCAGATATAGTGAATACAGGGTCCAGGGAGAGTGGATATAGTGAATTCAGGGTCCTGGGAGACCAGATATAGTGAATGCAGGGTCCCGGGGAGACCAGATATAGTGAATGCAGGGTCCGAGGAGAACAGATATAGTGAATGCAGGGTCCGAGAAGAGCGGATATAGTGAATGCAGGGTCCGAGGAGAGCGGATATAGTGAATGCAGGGTCCGGGGAGACCAGATATAGTGAATGCAGGGTCCGAGGAGAGCAGATATAGTGAATGCAGGGTCCGAGAAGAGCGGATATAGTGAATGCAGGGTCCGAGGAGAGCGGATATAGTGAATGCGGGGTCCGGAGAGACCGGATATAGTGGATGTGGGGTCCGGGGAGAGCGGATATAGTGAATGCAGGGTCCAGGGAGACCGGATATAGTGAATGTTGGGTCTGGGGAGAGTGGATATAGTGAATGCAAGGTCCTGGGTTTAGTAACACCTTAACAATCGATGCCTCATGCAGGAGCCAATGGCTCTAGCTCAGCAATGGGCAAACTACGACCCGCGGGCCGTATGCGGCCCGGCGGACCTTTTAATCCGGCCCGCGGAGCTAGGCTCCCGCTAGGCTCCTCTCACAGTCCGCCCTGAAGACCGGTGTAACATGAAAATCTGTCTCCTATGAGGATCTGTCCCCCTCGACGTATCTGCGCATGTGCCGGAGATCGCCGATCGGCTGCTAATGCCTGAAACTGGCACATGCGCAGATACGTCGAGGGGGACAGATCCTCATAGGAGACAGATTTTCATGCTACACCGGAGCAAAGGTAAGTGAATTGACACAGGGGGGACTTGGGGACTTAATATGGGGGATGAATTAATATGGGGAATGAATTACTATATGGGGGATGAATTACTATGGGGGATGAATTACTATATGGGGGATGAATTACTATGGGGGATGAATTACTAATATGGGGAATGAATTACTATATGGGGGATGAATTACTATGGGGGATGAATTACTATATGGGGGATGAATTACTATATGGGGGATGAATTACTATATGGGGGATGAATTACTATGGGGGATGAATTACTATATGGGGGATGAATTACTATATGGGGGATGAATTACTATATGGGGGATGAATTACTATGGGGGATGAATTACTATATGGGGGATGAATTACTATATGGGGGATGAATTACTATATGGGGGATGAATTACTATGGGGGATGAATTACTATATGGGGGATGAATTACTATGGGGGATGAATTACTATATGGGGGATGAATTACTATATGGGGGATGAATTACTATGGGGGATGAATTACTATATGGGGGATAAATTACTATATGGGGGATGAATTACTATGGGGGATGAATTACTATATGGGGGATGAATTACTATATGGGGGATGAATTACTATATTGGGGGATGAATTACTATGGGGGATGAATTACTATGGGGGATTAATTACTATATGGGGGATGAATTACTATATGGGGGATTAATTACTATGCTTACTATGGGGGAATATTACTATACTTACTATGGATGACACATACACATCATTCATCTACTCTTGGTCCGGTCCAATATATGAACCCATTGCGGCCCTCAAGTCAAAAATGTTTGCCCACCCCTGCTCTAGCTGCTGTCTTAGCCATTGGACACAGAAGGTTTTTTTTACCTTCAGGCATAGAATGTATGAGGGTAAAAAACATTCAGCCTTTACAACCACTTTAATTATTTGGACATACTGTATACAGGGCTTTTTTCTGCAGTAACACGGGGGGAACGTAGTTTCGGCACCTCCAGCACTAAATGTGTGTAGTGGCAAGGGATGTTGGGGTGTGCTGGAGAGTCTGTTGATACTGGCTGCTGGGAATCTATTTTTTCTGGAGGGGATCTATTTTTTGCGGGGTATCTGTTGTGCTGGGAAGGTCTGTTGTGCATCTTATGTTTCTCGGGGGTTTATTGTTGATGTGATAGGAGGGGTCTATTGATGCTGGCTGAGGGGATATCAATTATTGCTGCTTGGGAGCTATTGTTGCTGTGGGGTATTTTGTTGTGGGTGGCCTATTGTTGCTGGGGGTAATCTATTGTTGCTGGGGGGTTTTTTATTGCTGTGGAATCTATTGTTGCTGGGGGCTGTTGTTGCTGAGGGTCTATTGTTGCTGGCTACAGAGGATCTATTTTACTGCTTTTCTTGGTATCAGTAACAAATTCTATACAAATTGCTTATCAGCACAAAATTATACTCAGCACAAAATTATACTCAGCACAAAATTATACCTTACCCACCTACTGAACAGTGCTCAGAGGTGGGTCAGGGGTGGAGACAAGCGGTGACTTGGAAAGGGAAAGTTCCTGCACCTATTCTCTGACTGGATATAAAATGTTTGTAGAGCCCTGACAGCTCTCCAGCTGGCAACTGGCCACTCAGGCCCTTAAGAATTAACCGTTTCTCGACTGCCCTATAGCACAAATACGGTTACAGGGCGGCAGAGCTGCGCAAAATCACAAATATTTACGTGATTTTGCATTTCTGGGTACGGCCCTACCTACCATTGGCGTCTACAGATGTTGATCACCGGGTCCCAGACGGAGATTCCCTGCCGCCACTGCGATCATCGAGGAACACAGACGGGAGAGACCTGTGTGTAAACAACACAGGTCTCTCTCCTGCCAGCAATAACATGCTGCTGTGTACACAGCAGCATGTTTCCCTAGTAAAACACACACAGCACATTATGTAAAACAGCACACAGTTAATCCTTTGATTGCCCCAGATGTTAACCCCTTCCTGCCCAGTGTCATTATTACAGTGTCTGTACGTTTTTTTTATTAGCACTGATCATTGTATTGGTGTCACTGGGGATGTCAGTGGCTGTTAGTCAGTACCCCCCTCCAGTGTCAGAATGCCCGCTGCAGTCCCGCTATAAGTCGCTGATCACCACCATTACTAGTATAAAAAGAAAAAGAATTCCAGTATAAATACTGCCATTTGTAAACGCTATAATTTTCACGTAAACCAATGAATTTACATGTATTGGGATTTTTTTTCAGCAAAGACATGTAGCAGAATACATTTTGGCCTAAATTTATCAAGAAATTAGATTTTTTAAAATTTTTTTTTTACTGCATATGTTTTACAGCAAAAAGTATTTTTTTTTTCTTTTTAAATAGTCTTTTTTTGTTTATAGTACAAAAAATAAAAAGCGCACAGGTGATCAAATAGCACCAAGAGAAAGCTCTATTTGTGGGAAAAAAGGACATAACTTTAATTTATGTACAGCGTTGCATGACTGCAATTGTCAGCGCCATATCGCAAAAAATGGTCTGGTCAGGAAGGGGGGTAAATTCTCTGGAGGACAAATGGTTAAAGGAGGACTGGGCTGGTTGGTAGACGGGCAGGGGCGGACTGACCATTTGGAAACTCGGGCACTGCCCGAGGGCAATGAGTCAGTAGGGGGCCCCATGAGATGCCCCTGGTACCTTTTTCATAGGCTTTTTTGAGTTTGGGTAAGGACATAGGGGCCCCATGATTCCCTATTGCCCGGGGGCCCCATGAGTTGTCAGTCCGCCCCTGCAGACGGGTAATCGTCCCCTGGACGATTATAAAAAGCAGCACCAGAAGTTTGGCTGTGAGGTACAGACAGTGGTGTATTTAGTTCTTGTGCTGCCCTAGGCAACACTAAAATTGGGCAACCCCTGACCACCAGCACCCCCCCTCCCCACTCCAACACTACCACCCTCCACGAACCCCCCCCCCCTCGTCCCACCTGCAGAGAAAGAGTTATTCAAGCACTAACCTTACCTCTCCGAAAGTAGCCAGCCATCTCAGAGCCAAGCCCAGTGTCTTCCTTATGCGGGAACTCTGTTTACACCCTCCAGCAGGGGGCAGCCTCCTCGGATTCCATGGTGGAGCACCAGGTTCCCATCCCTGTCACATGTGTCCCTTCTTCCAGGGGGTGGCACAGCCCCCCTGAAAATTGCTGCCCAAGGTAAGTTCCTTGTTTGCCTTGCAGTAAATACACTGTCAGAAGCTTTCAACTAAAACAAGGGACACTTCAAATCTCCTTTACAATGGAACATGCCAGCTTAGTAAAAAGATAAGTATATTATATTTACTTGTTTTAGCCCTTTTTGTTACATTTTTTCTGGTTTCTGGTCTAGGTCAAAATGGTGTCATACATCCCAGGGATCTTCATAAGCAATTTTTTTCTTTCATCTGAAGGATTATAGGAGCTAAGCACACCAGAGTTAAGGGCAGATGGATTCCAGGGAGTAAATGCTACAAGAATCATCTGTTGGCGCTATATAAACTTTGTATAATAATAATAATAATCTGCCCTTACTCAATATGGCAGCAGCCAGAAATGCTAGGGGGGTGTTTTTCAAAGTGATTTCTCAGCAAAATAAAGCATGCAGACATGGATGGATGGGGGAGTTTGCTTTGCATATTAAAAATGAATACATTTCAGTTTGTGGAGCTCAGATACAGTTTGGTTCTGCCTAAAGCTTCCATTGGTTCTATTTGAGTAAAGTCAGAGGTAAACCACAGTAGCGGCCTGTGGAATGTGACACTGAAAATGTGTTGAGTTGAAGAAGGAAGTCCTACGTGTGTTCTAGAAAATGTAAACATCGTTTTAAAGGTTCTTTTCAAATCGCAGATATTTGGAGCTTCCACATAATTTAATGCGACCACATGGATATCAGCCTGATCGGCTTGTACCTACAACTCAACAGCTCCAATCATTGCACATAATTCATCCTTTGATGTATGCTGTAAAATGCAGCCTGGAAGTGTTGATACTAGTATGTAGTTTTTACAAACCAAAATGAGATTTTTGGCAAGATTTAGAGACTACAATAAAGGATTCAGGAAATGTGGACATGGGCACCACACCCTTTACTTTTTTCATTAAAGTGTTCCTAAACCCCGGACCCTGCATTCACTATATCTGGTCTCTCACAGTACACAGAACATTGAAATGCAATTATTTTAGTAAATATAAACTGATAAATACCTTTTCTCATCAGCAGTTAGAGCAGTCTTGTGACTTTTATCAGTGTCCAGCAGAGCACTGGTTAAAGCTTCTAGGAGGAGTTTCATTCTGCTCTGACTGTCCTATGAGGCTGCATAACCCCTGACCCTCTGTCTGGACTGTGCTGATTGGCTCTGTGCTGATCACATCCATCCTCCCAAAGAAAAAAAACTCTCTAGCAATATACACTAAACTGAGCATGTGCAGCTTGCCCCCAAGGCTCTGTTCTATCAGCAGATGGATTGGGGACAGTAGAAGGGGAGGATCAAAAAAGACAGGATCAAACAGCCTTTTTTACACAATGCAGAGGATTACCCCACAGTGAGTATAACAAGCATGCTTTACTGCATGTACAGACTGATTTTACTGTTGTGGGTTTAGTAACACTTTAACTTCTGTTTGGTACAAAAAAGGGGTCTTTCACGTCACAACATTAAGGAGACACTGTCACCTTGGCCATGCAGGACAATGTAATGGTGTATATGTAAATGCCCCCTGACCCCCCTATACTTACCTTACCGGTGTTCTCTTGCAGATCCTTGCTCCACCAAATTCGATGTTGAAATTGTCTGTGCCAGGAATCTTAGAAAGCAGAGGCTTCACGCCCTCCTCTTCAATTCATATAGAATTAATTTTATGGCCACTTTTTTTAGTAATTTTTAATTAAATGATCAAAACACACATGATTATATTATATATTTGTATTGTCCGGTAAGATCAGTAATGCATGGATCGAAATTTGTCCGGTTCCCTCCTCGATCAGCACTGCAGGCTATAGCCTGCAATGTTGGTTAATGTATTCCGATGGTGGGGATGTCTTCCCACTGTCAAAATACCATGTGACAGTGGGGAAGATTTCCCCATTCACACTGAAGGTGTGGACGAGGGAATCAGATCAGTTTTTCTCACTCAACCCCCCCAGGTGAATGGAAAAAACTGACTCATGTATGGGCTGCCTTAGGGCTCGTTCACACTTGGCTGTTTTACCAACGCTTGCCAAACGCCCCTATGGCGTTTGGCAAGCGTTGGTCCGGCATTTAATGCTCAGCAAACGCTCCGCAAACGCCGCATTCGCGGTTTAGTGGAGGTTGCTAGGCGTTTGCCGAGAGTTAATAATGTCCCACAAACGCCTATAATGCAGTCTGAGTGGTGTTACCGCTCCGCAAACGCCCCGCAAACGCGTCGCAACCGCACCGCAAACGTTGGCGGGGCATTTGCGGAGCGGCACCATAGACGAGAATAGGTGGCTTCAACGCCTCCTGACTCGACCAGAGGCGTTCGTTTTGCCACGACGCAACGCAACGCGACGCAAACGCTCCCGTTAGAACAGCACCATGTGCTGTAATGTGCAGAATTGGCAGAGGTGTTTGGGAAGCGGTAAAAACGCCTCCCAAATGCCTCTCTGCCGCCTGCACACAACGCTAGTGTGAACGTAGCCTTAATGTTCAGTACACCAATATCCTAATGAAGTGGCCAACAAAGAACAACAAACAGATTGATGGTATTTTGTTTTTATGAAGATACAGTATGGGTTTACTTTCTTTCCCTATGAGCCCCTCTGCTGACCAAACTTTTGGTTCCTTTTAGGGACCCTACCCCCACACATTGTCCTCTGGAACCCTTTGTATGTGCAGGAAAACCCTGGGGAGTATCCATTGCGACTGTCCACCACATTCTGTAAGGACACAGTCATATTCTCCGCAGGCTCATCAGGTTGTTCAACCCTTGCTAGGGCATCTGGCACCCACACAATGTGAGTACATGTATACAAGAACTTTTTATTCAACTCAATAACGTGTATAGATCTTGTAATCACTGAGCAGGATCTCTCTCTTGGCTTCTTGTTCCCCTTTGGGCTCTTTTAGTGTCTACCACCTTCTAAAAAGCCATCTGCGGTGGTTGCTTTTCAGAAGGTTGTATAGCAGCGGATGCTAGGCATTCTGGAGGTGGTGTTTTGGCTCACAGTTGCAGCGCGCTCCCATCGACCTTAAAGTGTTACTAAACCCCCAACAGTAAAATCAGTCTGTATATGCAGTAAAGCATGCTTGTTATACTCACTGTGAGACTTAAGGGGTTAATCCTCCGCAATTTTGAAAAAAGGCTGTTTGATCCTGTCTTCTCTGATCCTCCCCTTCTCCTACTGTCCCCAATCCATCTGCTGATAGTACAGAGCTCTAGGAGTCACTCTGCACATGCTCAGTTTAGTATGTATTGCAAGAGGCTTTTTTTTTTTCGGGAGGGTGCATGTGATCAGCACAGGGCCAATCCGCACTGTCCAGACAAAGGGTCAGGGGTTATGCAGCCTCATAGGACAGTAGGAGCAGAATGGAAATTTCTCCTACAAGCTTTAACCTGTGCTCAGATGGACACTGATAGAAATCATAAGACTGCTATGTACTGCTGATGAGAAAAGGTATTTAGCAGTTTAAATTTACTAAAATAATTGCATTTCCATGTTCTGTGTACTGTGGGGGACCAGATATAGTGAATGCAGGGTAAGGGGTTTGATAACACTTTAATGGGCATGTTTGACAGGTGGCACCACCTGCAAGCCAAGTTAAAATAGCCACCAACATCATGTGGCTGTTAGGCCTGGGTACCATCACGGGACAGCAGGTCACATGCTCCGTCATACTTGGATTTGCCTGGTATTTCTGCCGCAAGGGAGTGCAGGTATGGTGGATATAAGAGGGTAAGATGTTCTTAGCAGAGACACCATCAGTTGCACATCATGAGCAAAATGACAGTGACAGTGTACACCCGCCAATGATAGCCTGCCATTTCATCCTCCATTATCCTCCACTTTATTCAACATAACGTAATCGCTATTCAGAAACTCATGCTTTACTGATAAAACCTTTTCAGCACAATGTCTCCAAAGACACACAACAATAAATCAGATTCTAACTATTAAAAATAAAGTCGGCCATACATGGATCAAAATATGGCTGTTTTAGAAGGAACCACCCAATATTTGACCCATGTATGGGCAGGCCGATCCCATCAACTTGGGAATTTTTTATACATACGATTACTACCGTTGGCTATAGCCACTAGCAGTAATCATTATGTTCTGCCGGCAGAACAAAATACCACTCTGGGAGGGATTCCTCCATCAACACTAACTGTGTTAATGGAAGAATCAAGTGATTTTCTTTTGTTCCACCAATCAAATTATCAATGACCTATCTAAAGTCTGCTGTATTAATTATATAATGGCAGCCAGCAAAAGAAGATTGATATGCAAATCCTAATAGGATTTTAGATACAATTGTAGAGCCAACCCTAATGTTATATAATAACATTAAATATATATATATATATATATATATGTATATACAATTTATTTATTTCAGGTACTTATATAGCATTCACATCAATCCTTAACCCTCAAGGGGTGTACAATCTAAGGTCCCTAACTCACATTCATACATACACATACTAGGAACAATTTAGACAGGATCCAATTAACCTACCAGCATGTCTTTGGAGTGTGGGAGGAAACTGGAGTACCCAGAGGAAACCCACGCAGGCACAGGGAGAACATACAAACTCTAGGCAGGTGGTACTGTGGTTGGGATTTGAACCAATGACCTGAGTACTGCCAGGCGGAAGTGCTAACCACTTAGCCACTGTGCTGCCCATATATTATATTATATATATAGTATATATATATTACTATATATACTATATATATAGTAATAAGTAACTAACAAATAAATAGTGTGCACAGCTAAATACAATATAATCGATGAATAATATCATCCATACGCATAAAGTGCCAAGTGTCTTACTGTGCAATGCTTGTGTATACATTACATGAAATAAATGGTATAATAAAATGATATAATTAAAGCAGTGTTAAACCCCAAAGCAAACATTTATTATATTGCAACTTACCAATTCTTAGATGTGGTGACTGCATAAGTTTTCTTTTTTAGTCTTTCCTTCCTTTATTTTCACCTGGTGATCCTGCCAGTAAGCCTGCTATTTTTCAACAGAAGAAGCTATCCTGAAGGTGTAGCAGTTAGAGTGTTGAGACAACCCATTTACCACTTAGTGCTTAGAATGGTCAGATTTTATTTATGTAAAACCTTTATTCCAAAAGAAAAAAAAACTGCTGTAAGTGCTTGCACAGTGTTAGCTGGCATTTGGCTTCAAATATGCTAGTGTATCTAAATCTGATAGTCTAACACCCCCCTCTCCCCAGACTGACAATACTGCTGTCCAATGGTGCCCCTGTGCTCCTTCATCCAGATTTGAGACACAGGAGGTGTGTTACTGGCCAGATTACCAGGTGAAAACAGAGGGAAAAATGCCTAAAAAAATAGATGCAAAGAAGAAAGAGGAAAACTATGGGCTCGTGTACACGGGGTGTTTTTGTTAAACTTTTCTGAATGATGAAAACTGACTGAAGGTTAAAAAACATCAGTTTTAGCGCATTTGCATACCGCGTTTATGCGTGTTTAGAAGCGTTTTTTTAAAGCTAATCCCAGGAGACCTTCCAAAATGCCCAGAATGGACTGAAAAATAGTAACAAATTAACTATTTCAGACATTCTGAGAGGAATAGAGAGAGCAGAAGCAGAGAGAGAGTAGTATGTGTTGAGATGACCTGTCTTTTCTGGTTGTATTCACTATGGATCCCATCATGACCATAATGCAGAACGTTCTACCATTTTTTCCTTCACCTGGAACTGACTGCGCTGGTGTACTGGGTCCATTTGAATACATGGAAAATGTTTTGCATGCATTTCTGATGATGAAAAAAGGCTCTGGACAGCATCTGGACATGGAACAGTTAAAAAACGCTTCTAAACGCAAACGCTTCTAAACACGGTTAACCGCGTTTACAAGCATTTGGCATTTGAAACTCCGGTAAAATCTATTCCTGAACGCATGTTTGGTGCATTCAAAAAATCGACTGTAAACCAGGGGCGGACTGACAACTCATGGGGCCCCCGGGCTATAGGGGATCATGGAGCCCCTGTGTCCTTGCCCAAACTCAAAAAATCTTATGAAAAAGGTACCAGGGGCATCTCATGGGGCCCCCTACTGACCCTGGGCCCTCGGGCAGTGCCCGAGTTTTCAAATAGTCAGTCTGTCCCTGCTGTAAACTCAACTGCCTGTAAATGACTGTAAACGACGATGTGTACATGGACACATAGGAAAACATTAGGGAGAGTTCAGGGGCTGCTGAAAAAAATGCTGAACAGCTCCTGAACGTCAGTTTAGGAGCTGCAGTGTACATGAGCCCTAATGCAGCCACCACATCTAATGATAATGAAACTGCAATATTTGATTTTGGGTTTAATACTGATTTAATGATCAGCAGAATAAAGAGCTTGTTTTTAAATACCAGGTATCCTTCAACATGAATTGTTAAGGCAGTTGTCCTGCATTTGATGTGAAAGGATTCCCAATGGACTAAGCTGTCTGCCATAGAAGTGAATGGACAACTACCATGCCAAGCTGTCCACCATCATTGGGGTGTTTTTCTCTCATTGACCACTGACACGGTGGCATGTGACACTACGAGAAAAAGGAGAGGCATTCTTTACAGAGACATTCTTACTTTGCTCTGCATGAGCAGGATAACAGTGTCACTTTAAAGTGACACTAAACAATATCCTTCTTCTCATAAAATAATCCATACATATCCTCTTCTTAATGTCCCTGTAATTTATTTTTCATGCTTTTTACTGTGTTTTTTCTGCCTCCTTGCAATGTCCTCCATGAGCTCCAGAACCTCATCTTTTCCCCCTCACTCCCGTTTGTTCGCAATGAGTAGTGTATGTTAGCTGCGGTCGTGTGCACTGTTCTATGCACACAATTTGAACAAGAGAGTCACTTTAAATGTAACATTTTTATGTGTGACTGGAGTGAACTTTTAAGCTAATAAATTATAGACTGAAGCAAAGTAATAGCATCCAGAAGTCAGAGCTTCACCATTAACAGGTGCAGGGCTCTTCCTGAGCAAACATGTCATCAATCACTAGCACCAGACACGCAACATGTCAGATGCAATATAGGGAGGCCAGTCTTCACAGACACTCAGGATCCTGGCAAGCGAAGATGTACTTTTACCATGAATATTCTTTTATTCATCTTTCAGCCAATGCAAAAAAAAAAAAAAAAAAAAATTATTACATGGACTAAGTTATTTTACTGGCGGTGGGACTGTCGGCTTCAATGGGACTTGTAGTCGTATAATATATTTACCATCCATGTCTGAAATTTTTCCATGCTAAATTATCAGCAGCTTCAGAGGAAAATATGTCTGCATTACAACAGAATGATATATTTCTTAATAAATGAGAATCGCTTAGGAAATCGTATAAAACATCTGGACTCCATAGATGTGAATTCAGGGGACTCTAATAACAATTTGGAACATTACTCTGATGATGTTTGTGAAAAAGCCTTTTGGAAATTAGCTTTTACAAATTCAGAAAATGGGCTTTAGAAATATTAAATAAAAAAAAAAAATATGTATATATATATTTTAAATAAAAAAGCTATAGTTTCAATTTAATTGAGAATTTTTTTAAGCTGCTTACATTTTTATAATAAAAGCTTAAAATAAAATGTAACTGCAGACGCTCCGATGGGAAAGCATATTTTAATAATGAGGTATTCTCCATATACAAAGTACCATTATAAAAAATAAATATGCACTATATACTAAAGTGATTTTTAGTTATAAGTGGAGACTGGTCCCTGGATTCTTATATGTATTGGATGGTTCAACGGTTTAGGGTGTTTCCACCTACTTTGTGTATTTTAGTACCGCCTTTGCATTCTCTGTAATTTAAAATAAATATAAGATCCAACTTGGAGAGTGGGAACCCTTAATAATGGCCACTTGCAGATGTGCAGACCCTGGAACAAAAACGCAGACATACAGTACTGTGCAAATGTTATAGGCTGGTGTGAAGAAATGCTGTAAAGTGAGAATGCTTTCAAAAATATATATTTTATTTGTTCATTTTTATTGATTTACAAAATGCAAAGTGAGCAAACAGAAGAAATATCTAAATCAAATCAATATTTAGTGTGACTATGCTTTGGCTTCAAACCAACATCAATTCAATTCATCAAGCTCTTTTGAAGAAGCACAAAGAAATGGGCAACGTTGAGGACCATAGACAAAGTGGTCGACTAAGGAAAGTTAATGCAGCAAATGAAAGACACATCATGCCTTCTTCCCTCCAGATCGGAAGATGTTCAGCCATGCCATCAGCACAGAACTGGCGGAAACCTGTGGGACCCAGGTATACCCATTTAATGTGTGGAGAAGTCTGGCCAGAAATGGTCTTCATGGAAGATTTGAGGCCCAAAAAGCCATACCTCTGATGTGGAAACAAGGCTAAGCCACTCAACTTAGCATGACAAAAGAGGAACTGGTGTGCGGAAAAATGGCAGCAGGTGCTTTGGACAGAAGAGTCAAAATATGAAATATTTGGCTGTAGCAGAAGGCAGTTTTTTCACTGGAGAGCGGTACAATAATGAATGTCTGACAGCAACAGTGAAACATGGTGAAGGTCCCTTGCAAGTTTGGGGTTGCATTTCTGCAAATTAAGTTGGAGATTTGGTCAGGATC